TAGCGGTCCTAAAACGGTGCGATTTAGAAGATGTTTTCTCCCTCGCACAACTTCCTTGTGGAATCGATTACCATCAGCGATTTTTCCGGACCGATACGGCTTAGGGACCTTCAAGAAAAGAGCCTACGCCTTTTTAAAAGGCCGGAAACGCATCTGAAATTTCCCTGGTGTTGCAGTTGTTCATGGGCGACGGTAGTCACTTATCATCAGGTGAGCCGCATGCTCGTTTGCCCCCTTTACTATAAAAAAAAGGTTGACTAGCAGAGAATGCTTTTAGCATTAAGTCCGCCTTCTGTTCCTGTACTTAATATGTGAGGTTTAATAGTCTAAATAAATAAATAATTACATAATACAACGTAATATAAAAGGCGACTATGGAAATTCTCACAAAAATCTCATAGTCTACAATAGAGAGTAACGTTAATGAGTAGCTTATTAGCAACGACTTTACATTATTAAGTAATTCATGGGACGCATTAGAAGTAAATACATTACGTCAACAAAATAAATGAAGTATACAAACTAACTGCAACCACGATAGGATAGAACAGCCTCACTGCAACATCATCTATACGTTTTATACGTGGTAGAACCATGCTGCAGCTATATTAATAGTATAGTTGTAGCACGAATGGATCGGCTCGACCGGGGATGGACCACGCCCTCACAGAATACTAGTGTAAAAGAGTAGCTTAATGCTACTGTGTTTCGTATGGTGAGTGTAGAGAACCGGAGACCCTTTTTACTGGAAAAGAGGCATTCCATCTTAGTCCTCACGGGTGACAACGCATCTGTATTTTAATTCGCAAACGAAAATAGATGTAGATGTCTATGGGCCACAGCAACCACTTACCATCTGTTGCACTGTTTGCTCGTTTGTCATCCTAATTCTATAAAAAAATTATACAAATAAATAAAATTGAACTGTCTGTTTATAATGTCAAAATAACAGCTTTTTACTAATTGCATTTGAAAGTATACACTGTACTTATAACAAAAACACAATTTTTAAAATGTTTGTCTGTCTATCTGTCTGTCTGTTTGTTTGTTCCGGCTAATCTCCGAAACGCCTGGACCGATTTTGACGGGACATTCACTGGTAAATAGCTAATGTTATAAGAAGTAACGTAGGCTACTTATATTATAGAAAAATAATTAGGGTTCCGCGTGACAAAATTAAAAGCCTAAATTGCACGCGGGCGAAGTCGCGGGGAACAGCTAGTCTTATACTAAAATAATTACCACGACAAACAGAAAAACGACAAAGATTAAGACTCGAGAAATGACCAAAGCCAGTTGTCTGCGTAGTACTTTACACTGCTTGAACTTGAAGGTGGTTTATGTGGACAGATAGTGTATTTGTACATAAGGCCAACCGAATATAACAAGAAGCTTAATAGGACTCAATCACAATACTCAATGATTAAGGCTTTACATACTATAGACTCTATGTATCGAAGCTATTTTTTTTATAAGATAAGGGTAATAAACGAGCACACAGTCCACCTGATGATAAGTGGTTGCTGTGGCCAATATACATCTTCATCTATCCTCAACTACGAATCAAAATGCAGATGCGTTATCACCCGTGAGTAGTACTCGTAAGATGGAATGCCTCGTTCAGTAAATAGGTAAATAGGGTAAACAGGGTAAATAGGGTGGGTCTCCGGTTCTCTACACTCACCATACGAAACAAAGCAGCATTGAGATGCTATTTTACGCTGGTATTCTGTGAGGGCGTGGTCCTTCCCCGGTCAAGCTGACCCATTCGTGCTACAGTCATATTAATAATATAGATGCAGCATGGTTGTAACACGTACAATATACACCCTCTATAATTATGTCATGTGAGTTACACCAGAGGTCTTTCAATATAGCTATATTGAAAGACCTCTAGTCCATGTGACATAATTATGTAGGGTTATTTTTCAATGTGTAGCCAAATTTTAAACTTAAGTTGAAATATATAAATAACTAGCTGTTCCCCGCGACTTTGCCCGCTTGTAATTTAGGGTTTTAATTATGTTGCGTGGAACCCTAATTCATTTTCTAAAATATAAATAGCCTTAGTTACTCCTTATAACCTTAGTTAGTCCTTATAGAATTCTTAGCCGAACAAAAATAAATTTTTGTTTGGCTAAGAATTCTAATTTGAAATTAATTTTGAGACTCATATTTGTGCCTATTACTTAGTTCAGCTACCTCTGATGCCGCTCCGGCTGAGATGAGAGACCGCCAAAGTGTCTACGCAAGTAGCATCCCACAATGGGGCTTTATCTCTCTCCCAAGGGGCCAATTTCATACCCTCGGGTATCCTGCCATCGTCTCTAAATATTCCACAAATTTTGAAAACCGAGGGAACACTTATAGAGACAAGAGCCCTTCGGATGACATCGTTCAAAGATAATAATCATAATATTGTAGTCATATCAATTTGTAATATGATTTTCACATGAATACGAGTATGTTTTGATCGTAAAATGTATTATAAAAATATTATTTAAAAGATAGATTTAACTAAAATTTCAGCCAAAACAAATCACAATTATAAGAATTTAAAAAACATTTTAGCCAAAAAACAATTAACCTTACTAAATATTCAAATTTTGTCAATACAGTAAAGCTCTTTATTTCTAAAGAAAATAATATATAAGAGCTCACTAAACATTGCTCAGTATGATTCATTGCAGTAAATTTAATATTTAAATTTGAATTCAAAATAAGTATTGTTTCAATTATTGTCTTTGTTAAGAATGTTGTTACGAATTTTTAGTACTGAGAATTTGCTGATTTGTTGGGTGATAAGAAAATAAATCAGCTGCATAGATAAATATATATGTAGCAAGCTACAGATACGACAGTTACTTTTGGTTACTTTTAGTCAAGTTTCCCAACTATGCGTTTTGGCGCTGCAGTCGCCCATTTTGACAGATGAGTAATAAAAAAAAATATAGCTTAGAGATTGCAAGCACACATCCTTCAAATCATCGATATCGATGTTTAGTGGTGTTCTTATTTTATCGATATCGACAGAAGTGCATTATACAGGAATAATAATATTACTTAATGAAACACTTATAATACATCAACATTTATTTTTTATTCAAGCACACCTACATCATATACATACGTAATTTTAGGATTAAATTAAAGGCACATTAAGTTATATAAACAAATTAGAAAATCGTACATAACATTGTGCATAAATAAGTACAATTTGACGAGAAACAGAGCAATATTTATAGTTCATTAAATAAAGCAAATTAAACCACATGAATCATATTTAAGTGCTTAATACTTTACTTTTCAAGTTACTTTTTTGGCCTGGCCATTTTTTTTACAAAATTATTTTAATTGTATTAATAAGAAAGTTATTTGTTTAACATAAAATAAAGGTTTTCAAATAGTTCTCTACAGTTTTAAAATAGATTGGACATTAAGCAAGTCTTTGTGAGGATTGTTCACCTACAAGTTAGAACCTTTTTTTTAAATTTTAACATCTCTTCTTTTATTTCATTTTCTTCACCACGTAACCTGAAAAGAAATAAATAAAAATAAAGTCCAATATTCATATTTTATGACTGAATGATAATCATAAATCATATATTATTCATATTAAGGTAAAATAGCGCTTCATGGCAGTTGGCATTTTCTTTCGGTCAGCCATGGTGTGGTGAAAATAAAGTGATAGATGCAGTAAATAAGAAATAAAAAATATATAAATATTAACATTGTATACATCCATTATCAGGAGCTTTCTCTATGTCTTCAGGCACAGAGTTCCAAATTAGTGTAACCTTAATACTAAAGGAGTTGTTGATAAAACCATTGAAGTGTAGTGGAACTGTAATCTTTAGATTAGATGAAGAATAAAGAATTCTTATTGTGATTTGAGGATAGATATGCTGAATATAGATATAATAGATATGTTGAAATTTTGCCTAATTATGTATAAGAATAAACTGAATTTATCATACCATTTTGCCAATGTGTACATTTTGTATCTTCTGGCAACATTTGTCTCACCACATCAGCTTTTCACATCAGATTTCTATTCCTGAAAACAAACAATATTTGTGAATTTTATGCTCTTATACATAAACCCAAAATTAAAGAATAAATATATAATGTATACATCTATATTGTATGTATTAACTCTGTATGGCTACTGTTAACGACAGTTTAGTATAATCGTAATTAAAAAGTAATCTATATTATCATATAACTAAGTTATATGGTAACATAAATTACTTTTAAAAAGAACATTTATCTCCTTGGTGTTGGTACTTTCACTTGGAGGTTGTTCCATGATAAGCATCTGAAAAATAAACAAATATCGACATCAACATTAAAAATAACAAGTATGCTCAAGATGCTAATAGCGTAATATAGCATAAAATCGACTCCGCGCTATAGAAGCATATTCTAGGTTGCTACAGACCAGAGATTTTTAGGGAGTAACTTTATTTATTTATTTCTACCTCTGTCTTTACAGGCGTACCTAATACGACAGTGTAGGCATATAAAACTATCTAATTTAATAAGGACAGAACACAACTTATCTACTATTATAACATAATACATAATATAATGTCACTTAGGTAAATTCACCCAAGGAACAGCAGAATAAATCTACATCCTGAGCTACTTTATTTAGTGTGCAGCACTCGGGTCAGTGGGCCTCGTTTGGAAGGTACGTGCGCGCGGTGTCTCGAATGGTGGGGGCCGCTTCCGGCACCACACGTACCTGTCCGGCACACACAACATAGCTATTCGCAATATCGCCTCGTTATATACTTGGTTTGCGGGGACCTGAAACAGCGTTTACGTTTCAGGAATCCGAACATTCTATTTAACCACCGTCATCATTACAGCGCTTCACAAGTCCACTGCTAACCGTAGGCCTCCCCCAAGAAATGTCACAAAGCACGGACCTAAGCCACCTGCATATCCAGATCGTCACTTCATCAACATTTTATTTACTTAAACATTTTTTTCTTAACCTAAGACTTTTATACTTCTTTAAGGCCAATTTTTGGGGTTCACCCATTTTAGATACATATTTTTCATCAATATCACCCTTCAATATTTTATTGTTTATGTTGCACCAATTGTGTCCATGTAATCTAATTAAAATATTGGTGAAAAAGTTTTTTACAATTAAGGCATGCTTATCACACCCTAGGCAGGAAAAACTCAAAGTGCTCAATATTTTTCTTTTCAAATTACTTTTTATATTACTTCCAATACAGCTATAATTCAAATAGTTATGAATAAAGTGAGTACCATCCCTGTACAAGATAAGGAATTTTTCGTTAGGGTATGCCAAATTATTATTTTTTAACAATTTATACTCTCTAAATTTAATGTAAGAGTGAATGTTTGTCTCCGTACTGCTAATATATGTTTTGATGCAATCCTTACAACGAATCGCTCTCGTTATTTTCCGACAAATGTATCCAGCAGTGTAAGCTGAGCAGTGGACTTTGATTTTTTCCATGACTACATCATTCACCAGCAACTTTTCTCTTGAACTTGCTTGTGAACAAGATGGGAGATCTCGCGAAACACTGACAGTGTTTTCCGAGTCATTTTCTTTATTATTATGAAGGTTTTTAAAAAGAAGACTAACATTTAATAATGTTTCTCCATTATCCTCTTCACAGTTAGAGAATTTGGAATGTGGACTAAGCATGTTAGATAACATCAAAGATTTAAAGGCATATATAAATGTGTTTGCATCTGGGTTAACATTTCTATAATTTATAGCTCTTATACGGCCAAAAAAATTTTCTAATGGGTCTTGATTAATATTCCTCGGATAATAATATTCTACATTATACTGTTCAAATAACAATTTGGAGACCCTTATAAAACTTTCAAGAGTTGTAATCCATCCTTGTTGGGATGGCACTCGCACAAGTCGAGGTTTTCCTGCTTTTGTAGCGTGTTTGCTACTGGTGTCTACAAAAACCATTTTTTTAATTTTATTAATGGCCTCAATCCAAAAAGTGTGATGTTGTGAATTTTGTTTAACCGCTCGTCTTAACTTTCCTCTTTGCACACCACCCGGGTAGCCATTGACGCTGTCAAACAGTGTGTCGAAGAATTCAACAACTTCTGCTGTTGTGGCCATTGTTGCGTCAGAGTTTGCAGTATGAAAATAATCTGAAAAGAAAAAGTACTTTTTAATTTAATTTCTTTTACAGTTGTACCTGCAAATCTTTCGCCAAAAAGACACTTCTTATTTGGTTACAACAACAGACTTTTTTAACCATTTTTTTACAAATTGATTTTTTTACAAATTGAGACTTCTGGTCAAATTTTACAATAGTATATACATAAATTGAATAAGCCTACAAATCAATATAGCAATCGTTACTTACTGAGTGCATTTGTATATTTGAGCATAGCAGCAGTTCGAGCACTAAATACTTGAGCAGCTACGCTGACCTTCATTTTTTTGATCTTTTGGCGATCAACATGATGAGCCGTTAACTTTGGTAGTGCCCTTGTGTGCCCCAATTTGCTATCCAAATCAAAAATGAACTCAATATCTTTCCAAGAGGCAGTTTTTTCTTCCCAAATTATATCTTTATTTAAAAAATTATTCCTTAAACCCTTTAAGAGATGAGGTGGGTCAAAAAATATGCTTAAATCGTGATCAGCAATATTAACCGATCCATCTGTAAAATAATTAAAATATATAATATTTGTCATGAAGTAGAACTAGTTTTTAAGTAATTAATAATGGTACACACCATCATGAACACCTTGAATATTCCGCCTACGAATTGTATCTTCCCTAAGTCTTCTTATTGCTGTTCGAAATGTGGACCCTTGGTCACAAACAAGACCTAAAGGTATTAACCCAGTTCGTATCACTTGGGGCACAATCTGTTTTAAAATGCATTGCAGCTCTGCTGCTGATACTGTGCCTTCACAGAAATAAAATGCTACACTCTGTCTCCATGGAGAGCATATTCCTCTTAGCATAAAAACTAAAGCATGATCACAATATTTCAGTTTTCTCTCTCCAGCTATATCTACAAACCCATTAATTATATCATCTTTTTCATTAAAAGTTAAATGTGGTGTTAGAGAGACTTCGTCAAAAACGATTGTACATAGCTTTTGTTTAGTGTCCCATTTTTTGGTTGTATTTGATATATGTTCAAATATTAATGGATTGAGTCCTGGTTGTATTGAAACCTTCTCAGAAAGTCTATTTAATGTCCGTTTACTAGGCAAGGCAAACATTTTTTCTAATAGTTTGTAACTTTTGGGGCTTTGTTTCATTATGAGCAACGCCATTAATTTTTCATCTAAGGTAAACCTTCTGGCCATTTTGCTTTTATGAATTTGTTTTAATTGCATAAACAAGAAAGTCTGCGCTTGTTTGTTTAACAAATAAAAGTTTTCCAAAAGGTCTTTATTTCTTGATAGGGATTGGGCTTGATCAAGTCTTTGTGATACTGAGTCACTTAAAGTTTCAGTTGCAATATTAGTCAAAATTTTAACCAATTTTCTTTTCCTTGATACTATTTTCTTCACCGAACCTGAAGTGAAATAAATAAAATAATTAAGTTTTATATTCATATTTTATGACTGAATGATACACTTAAAAATATTAATTTATTATTTATATATTGTTATTTTAAACTTTTAATGTATTCACTTTGAAAAGATAACAAATAGTGTGGATGTCATCAGGGGAAGACTTCCAGAGAAATGTCACCTTAACAGTAAAGGAGTTGTTGATAAAACCATTGAAGTGTAGTGGAACTGTAATCTTGGGATTAGATGAAGAACAAAGAACTCTTATTGTGATTTGAGGTAGATATTGAAACTTTTTCTAATTATGTCTAAGAATAAACTGAATTTATAATACCTTTTTGCTTTTTTGTACATGTGCTACCTTTTGGCAACATTTGATTCACTACATTAACATTAGAATCAATTCCTGAAAAGAAGCAATAGTTATGAATGTTATGGTCTTAAACATAAACTCAATATTAAATAACAAATTTACAATGTATGCTTCTCTGTATTGTATGTCTACATTAAATCTAGCTACTGTTAATAAAAGTTAGTTTAGTATAAGCAGACAAACCTACGAGTTCTTCGAGAACATCTATCTCCATGCCTTTGGTACTTGCACTTGGAGGTTGCTCCAGGAATGTATCTGAAAAATAAACAAATATAATTGTTAGATACGATTTCATGCGACAAAACGTTGAAATCTTGATTTTTAGGCGCTAGTAGAACATACCTACGTGCTTTGCACTTAAGGCATGCAATATTATCCTAGTGTCTAGTATCAAATACACATAACTATCCTCTAGAACTGATGCAGTTCTAGGTATGCAGTGACACCTTCAGTCCACAGCCTGTTTATAAGCATTTAAAGTATTTTTTCTATTACCCGACATATAAGTACTTCTTTTGATTTGATCCCTACATAAATGTATAAAAAATTATGTCCAATACAATTTCACATACCTTTATTTTCTACAACTGTTGCAACAGTTGAAAAATTTGAACATGAAGGCTGTTCATGAGAATTTCCAACATCTGAAATTTGTTACAATTTTGCATTTTTATAGATGTCAGTATGATAAGGCAAACACATTATTAGAAAATGAACGGTTAGTAAATTTATGAAATAGTTAGAAAGCTTTTTTGCTACTTAGTAACTAGTACTACATGAATATTAGTACACACCTGATGATCCAATCTCTACCGATGATTTGGAACAATCATTTTGCTCTTTGCAGTAATTGTGTTCAATCGTAACATCACTTCCTGAAAACATTATTCAAAATGTTGAAAAATTTGCCACTGACTGAAATTTAAATACATCAAATCACAGTGTTCATCATAATATGTTTACTATAATTTACAATTAACATCAATTAAGATATTTGTACATACCAGGCTTTCTAATCACTACCACAGCTTCTGTGAAATCATCGTCATCTTGCACTTTACAATAATTATGTTCAGTTGTGACATCCCATCCTGAAAACATTACATAATCATAGCAAATAACGATGCAGAGTCAATAACATTTGTACCTAACTAATCATAAAGTCAAAGAGTAAAAAGAGAGTTCTTAGTTAGCCAACCTACAAAATGCTTATTCTGGAAAAAAATTACCCACATGCAATGTTTGGAAATTTGTAATAAATTGCTGCTTTTTCGATATTGTGATATTTTTATAGAATAGAATGATTTTTATTCAACATTGTTTATTACATAATATCTATAATATATAATAATCAATTCTCGATTAAATTGAGCATTTTAATATCTATTTTTGATTATTTTTCTGTGTTAACTAGGGAGATAAAAAATAATTGCATACTTGTCTACAAAACAATACATAGACATAGTATCTTATAGACTAAACATTCAGTGACGTCATCAGCGTGTGAAAGGAATGCACGTATATAGTTAGACATAAGAGTAAGGGAGAAGCAAATCTATATTTCATGTCTTTTTCTAGGTATGCGTTTTTGATTGTTTTCCCTCCTTTATTTGACATTAACGATGTCAAGCTCTTTTGAATAATATTGATATTATAAGCAAACAGGTAATTGAATTTAGTGTTTTTTGTGGATCTTATTTATTAGGTAAGGTGAAAAAGATGGTAAGTTGTAGCATTTTAGGATGCAACAGCATCAGTCAACGAAAAATTGATAATATTACCTTTCATCGGTAAGTTTGTTTTGTGCTTACATTTGCTATTTGTACTGATTAATATCTATTGTTTTGAATATAAAGTGTAACATTTCATGTTTTTAATGAACTTTGTGATGTATTTTGTCAAATATTTAGATTCCCAAATTGTAAATTTTTCACGATAATGCTCCTTAATTTGAACGGTCATTCGAAAGCTTAAAGTCATAACAAACGTGTACTTTTTGATTTAGTAGGATTATAGAAACTTTAGGGATATCAGCGAGTACAATAAAGTTTTCGCATTGTTCAATAATAATATTTATTGTGATTAGTAGTTATATCCATAAATATGAATCACATAATGTTATATGTATACACTTTTATGTTCAGCTTTATAGGAAAGTCCTTATTGCCCTACAACTCTTCAATCATTTTCTATATTACATAGACTTCACAAATAATATGTAAGTATCAAGCTGAAAACATGTTTGGATTCAAGTACATAAATATTGGGCAAAGTATATTTAATTTCACAAAATATGTATTGCTTGAAATCAGATGCACAAAACTTTATTGCATTCCATTCATTCTATTATAGATTAGCAACAATTACATTACAATATTTATTCAAAAAATGTCATGCTAATATAAAAATAGATATAAATATAGATAAAATAATAAATAAGTCTTAATCTTAAGGTACACAATAACACAACAACATAAGATAATATTCTCAATTAATGATGTAGAAAAAATTTGATGATAATATACTTACCATTACCATTAGTCAGTATCAAAAGTTATAGGTTTTGTGATAGTTGCCTAGCTTGGCAGGAGAATTGGCAACTGCAGTTATTTGGAGACAAACTGTGTGGGAGGTCTATGTTCAGCAGTGGAGGACATTTGTTAGGCTGTAAATGTATTAATTAACAATATCTAAATCTTAATATGTACATAATTTTTTTAAATGTTTGGTATGAATAATATTATCATTACATTTACATATACTTGCTATTTAATTAAATCAATTGATATTGTTTTAATTGTTATAGGTATTGTGTTTATGCACAGATACACATACTTGATTTTTCTTTTGTTAAATACCTTGATATAAAAGTGTACTATATATTTAATATATTAATTTCTTTTAAATATATTATTTCACAACTTTCCTAAGGAATCAGCTATCAGTAACAGTTGGATAATCGCTACTGGTAGTGCTTATAGGTAACCAACAAAACTTAGCAGTGTATGCTCAAAACATTTTAAGCCTCATTGTTTTAGGTGGACTAAATATGCTTAACTTATGTAATTTATAATATAATTAAGATAATTTTTTAAATGTTATAATTTCTTGTTGTATCTTGTTGTTTCTCCATAAGTGATATAAGTTTGATCTTGTTGGTAGTTACGATTTTTGACATTGTTCTGTATGTATTAAAAATTGACTAGCATTGCTTATTTTATTTTCAAATGCTGACATTCTGTATTATTATGACTTGTAATAATTGGGGGCATGACAAAGACAAAATATTTATTTGTAGATGTATTGATTAAACATGAATCCTCATTTACAAATGTTGGAACTTTATCTGTACTACCATGTTTTATGCAAATAAAGATTTAAATAAAATAAATAAATAAGTAATTTAAAATCCTGACCTAAATATACAAATTAATAATTTATTATGCAATAATAATTGTAAAACTGACTGGGAATGCCTACCAATGGGACATTTAGTCCACCCTTAATCCCTTTTATAAAGGTGTTATAAACATTAATGTGTAAATAAATTAAGAAATAAGAGATAAGTATTACCTATCTAAGTATAGTTTAGGAGTTGTACCTTATTATTTATACCATTAAAATATATTGTATACAAGGCAAATAATATATATATATATATATATATATACACTCCTAATCTGATTCTAACGACCAGCACCCAAGAATTTCTGCCATGCAAAGGTATACATCAAGTTTACAAATGCATATTTTTGAGAAATTCTAAGGCTACTCAAACCAAGCATTACAACGAATGCTCTAGAAAAAAGACAAAAATTTTGTTAAGTTTGTTGTTTATTAATGTGTTGAAAAATTAATAAATAATCGTTTGTTTATTTTAATTTTATTGAATTATATTTAATATATAATTGTGTTTTCATTTGTTTTACTTTATGTAACATTGTTAATATTTCTAAAAGTTGTGTAAGTACGCAAAATTTAGTTCTTTTTCTTTTTAAATTTCAATATATTTTCATTTAAATAGAATATATATCTTTACAGTCTATCAAAAGTCCACTGTTGAACATAAACATGATTATAGTTATTTGGCATAGTTTCAACGCTTGGAAAGCGGGTTGTCAACCATTATTTAGCTGTTATCAGGACAATGCTCGTCGCTGATCGTCGAAATCCAAAGAGTTTATTGAATGTCCAGTAAAATCGTCGATGCGCCGTTGAATACAGAATGATGATTCTGTTTTTACGCCGTTTCCGCCAGTAGTTTTTGTCACAGAATGTATTTTCAAGAGAAATTAATTAATCATCTGAATTATATAAGAACTTTTTTTATGGTAACAATTAAGTTTTTTGTATGAATGTAAGTGCTGTGAATATAAATAAACCCATAACGGGGGAAATGGAACAATATCTGGTAACCCAGTGAAAGTACCTCCCGCCTATTTCTATCTCAAAAGCATACGCGAATGCTTTATCTAGTCAATCCTCTATCTACGAAACAATAATAAAAAATACAAAATATCAACATTCCAACAAGTAACAGCTACAACAATAATTCAAGTAATCGATCTCAGATCGATTAGTGATGCGTTAACTCGAGTTGAATCTTCCTAACTTGAGTTTGGGTTGCTGTACATGAACGGATCAAGTGAGCTAGCAAAAGAGTAAAAGTGCAATTTGTTTGTTGTGTGCGCGCTTTGCGTTTCAAAGAGTATTTAGCTACAACCAAAACAATTTGTTATTTAGAATTTTATTATAGCTAGTTGTGTAATTTAATTCCCTATATAATTTTGATTAATTATGATCAATATAGTATCATCATACTTTAAATTAACGCCAAATGTAACACTTAACTCACAATAAATATATTGAATTTATTTAAGAATATTTTGACTTTAAACTTCAACCTTTTGTAATTAAACTAGTAATAGCTTATGTACCTACATCTTAAAGCTAGACTAATACATAAGTATATGATACATACTAAATATACCTTTTCATATCAATCCTACATAATAAGTTTTAATAGATATAAAAAAGGAAATTATAATTATCTCAACCCATCAAAGAGCTAGATAGAAAAACAAATTTATAAAAAAGTAATTTGTAACAAATCATTTACTCTGATTCGTACTGCTAACTCAAGTTGCGTGAATTTCAACTCGAGTTAAATCAAGTCAAAATTTTCTAAGTTGGCACATCTATACGATCAGAATCCCTAATATTCACTTCACTTAGTTGTTGTTGTTTTAACTTTCATTAATCGTTTGACCATTTCGTTTCATTATTAACCACAGCTTTGTTGGTGATTATTTAATGATCCTGCTTTTAAATATTGAAGTAATTATAGCGAAAAATAGCCTGTTACTGTGTAATAATAGTGAAAAATCACCTGTTACAGTGTAGCCAATAGATAATCTCACTTTTACTTATTCTACAATAACTTCCTTACAATAAGTTCCTAGATTGACAAATCTTGCCAGATTTTCAGCTATGAATTGTTTATATATACGCTTTATTATACGTACTTTCATCTTGTTAACACTTGGGCCCAAGAATGTATAGAGACGTCTTAAGTACCATGATTGAAAGTAATAAAATAACTCACCTGTTGCAATTAGAGGCACACCATGAGCTATTTCATTGTCGGTAAGCAAGGACGGGTAAGAGTATCGAAGTCTTCTACCTTCATTGTCGAACTGAAATATATCAAAATGTTTTTCACAGACATGTTTGTTAAGTAACTGTTCTTTGGAAAGTGCAATGAGCTGGGGATTTGTCGGCACTATGAAAGACATCCATAAATTTCTTAAATTATCGTTCCTAGGGAAGCTGAAAAGCCGGTGCGTTTCATGTGTTGTATTGCAACCACCAACACAACACTTTTTGTATACCATTATGTTGGTATATGCAATATTCACACGAGCAGCACAAAAACAGAATATTGTAATAACTTAGGAAAATTCGGATAAATAATGGCGCCAATCAATCAATATCGATAACTTTGACTTTTGACAATATGGTTTGACATTAACACAATATGGCGTGTCAACATGCTCAAAATGGCGTCCGTAGGCAGAGAACAAATTTGCGACGGTAGCGCCAAGTTGCATAAAATGGAACTAAGCTGTCACGGGCCTGATCAGCTGTTGCTTTTTGTTTAGACAGTGTCTTCATAGTTTTCTTCTTCGTATTTTAATTTCTGTATTTAAAATGTGCCAGTTAAGATCATCATTAACCTCCACTACAGCTGTAATGTTTGCAAATGGTCTTTAATTTTTGAATAGATGGATAAGGAACTATGACCATTTTTGTAAGAACAGGATATATATTTATACATATATATATATATATATATATATATATATATATATATATATATATATATATATATATATGTATACTATAAGTCTGCTTGGAAAATAAGTCCGTCAGTTGCCACTGTCATATTTGGGCTCATTTTAAGTCGTTATAGCGGTCAAACCGCGAACTCACTAAATAAGCTCATAGTATCAAGAAGGTCTCTTCTAAGTTCACGTCCAGCAATAAGTCATGTGTCCCTGCAGTATTGTGGGTGGCAGAGCACTTCTTTATGACTGTAGCAGTTTTGTGAATGTTGTCACTAATGGTGTGTTATCACTATAGAATATTCGCCTTTGCAAGAGACGTTCTAACGAAATAGATGTTATATAAATTAGCTCGTCAACTGTTGCCAAGTGAGAATGTTAAGGGTTAAAAGTTCTGCGGAGTTAGCCAAGATGACATTCTACGATCGTTAACTCTATAGAGAAGTTTAAAAGTTAAGGAAATCAACGCGAAGTCACGTGACCTAAAATTCAAATTTTGCAATAGACTTTAAACTAACTTCCCAATGAGCCAATATAAACTCGCCTGTCTGTCTGTTTGCTTGTTTGTCTGTTCGGTACAAGTTTGGCAATCGATTTAAAGCTAACTTTCCGATGAGCTAGAGACCTTAAACTTTATAAATAGCTCAGAGGTAGCGTTGGCTGCTTTTGCAGCACCAGCCCATATGAAGCAGCAATACTCCTTGCACTACTGGACTTGCGCTTTTTATAGTAATCCATAAATTACCGCCTATAACATCCAGCTTCATAGGTGGGATTTTTGCCATAATTGCCTTGGTTAGGTTAGGTTGGCAGGCGGATTGGCAACCACAGTGTTTTTTATTACTTTGAGTTGTTTTGAGGTAGATGCTGCAGCTCATATGATGTTTCAGTTTCCGTTGATCATCTCTCACGACACCCACAGGATGATACGCTGTAATCGATATTCTTACACCGTGACTACACAGAAAAAAGTAATTATGTAGTATGTCAATAAAACCACACGACCGCACTGTACCGGAGCGCTTATTAGAATCCTTTCAAATGCTATTACATACAATATTTGTTTTACAAATAGAGTAAATTGCCGAGTTCATGTTATCTTTCAGAGCATGTTCTAACAATGAAAATCGTTACAGGCGTTTCTGAGAAACAGATAACATGTTTTGAATAAATACACGAATTGCTCACAAGTATAGGCGGCATGTATAGCGTGGGATTTCGCCGCCCGGGGCCGCCCGGAATTTCCTGCCTACTTCCAAAAAGGAGATGGTACTCAATTCGACTGTTTGTTTTTTTTATATTTGTGTTACCTCATAACTTTTTACTGGGTAAACCGATTTCAATGATTCGTCTTTTGTTTGAAAGCTGGTACTTCTCGTGTGATCCCATATAAATTTGATCAAGTTTAGACCAATAGTTTTTAAGTTATTCTTAATAATTTATACTGAAGTCGGCTGTACAAAATTTTTAATTTTAAATTGTGATACAGAAACAGAAACAGAAACTTTTTTTATTCAATATAGATTATAAATAATACTTATTGAAAGTCACTCTTTTGTATGATTACCACTGGTTCGAAAAAAAAACCTCTGTCTTGGGAAGAACCAGCAAGAAACCCAGCGGGACTTTTGTTCATATGTGTGAAAAAAGAAATAAATATAGAAAAATATATGAATCAATATAATATACATTTTTGCCGATTTCATATATACTTATATATATTTTAGGTCTTATATATTTTATTTAATATTTTATCATTTATTTAAAATTATGTATTTTAGTATTACCTAGTCAGGTCATAAGTATTGTCACACAGTAAAAACTTTTCTTTTAGAATGCTGGCCACAAAGAGTTTATTGAATTCGAATTTCGAATTGTTCATGAAAATAAAACTGTATACTTTTTAGAATGAATGTGGTTAAGCAGAACCACGGTGAAAAGTGTGTTAAATGAAGACTTAGGGCTTCGGGCATATCGAAGAAAAACAGGACATCGTTTGAATGCTCGTCTAATGGACCTGAGACTGAAGAGATGCCGCGCTTTGTTGAAGCGGTACGCGGGAAAAAAAAATCGGGAAATTCTTTTTTCGGATGAAAAATTTTTACCGTAGAAGAGAGCTACAACAAACAAAATGATAAGGTATACGCACACAGTAGTGAAGAAGCGAGCAACCGTATTCCGCGTGTCCAACGAGGTCATTTTCCATCCTCGCTCGTGGTATGGTTGGGAGTTTCTTATTGGGGCTTAACAGAGGAACATTTTTGTGAGAAAGGTGTAAAAACGAATGCAGTTGTGTATCAAAATACAGTCTTGACAAACCTTGTGGAACCTGTTTCTCATACCATGTTCAATAACAGGCACTGGGTATTCCAACAAGATTCGGCGCCAGCTCATAGAGCGAAGAGCACACACGACTGGCTGGCGGCGCGAGAAATCGACTTCATCCGGCACGAAGACTGGCCCTCCTCCAGCCCAGATTTGAATCCGTTAGATTACAAGATATAGCAACACTTGGAAGAAAAGGCGTGCTCAAAGCCTCATCCCAATTTGGAGTCACTCAAGACATCCTTGATTAAGGCAGCCGCCGATATTGACATGGACCTCGCTCGTGCTGCGATAGACGACTGGCCGCGCAGATTGAAGGCCTGTATTCAAAATCACGGAGGTCATTTTGAATAAACTTTAGTGTCATAAGAATCTATGTTTTGTTAAGTTCATTTTGGTATATAATGATGATTTGATTTGATATATAATGATAATGGTTACATAATGAATAAACTTGTTTCAATTATTTTATAATAAACATGTGACAGAATTTATGACCTGACTAGGTATTTTAAATTTATAATCTTCATATGTATCAAAATCGTATATGGCAATATAAATTCTATAAATTTATAAAAATATATTTTAAAAAATAGATACAATTTTTTTTCAAATGTGTGGATTTCGAAATTATATAATTAATTATTCGTTTAAGTGATTTTTTTAACGTTATGTTAATTAATGATTATTACCTAAGATATAAGCTTTCAAAGATCGAAAATGATTAACTTAATTGTACCTGCTTAAATATATTTATTTATACATAGTATCGTAGTAAGAATATATTTTTCGATGCATAATAAAAATATTAAAAAAAAATATTGCTTTATCTCGTATAATATAAATTAATTATAAACTTATCAAAAAATTATAATAATATATATCTTCCATACATACAATAAAATATATAATTAACATAATATATTAATCTATAATTAAAATATATACTTCGAATTACTACCAATAATTCGTAGTTCAATTACATTCTGAAATAAGTCGTCTCGTAATGAAAATAACAAGTGTTATTGTTTTGTTTGATGTCTCACCGCCGGCGAGGAAACGATTAGCTATCAACTATTTTCTCGCTCAAGGAATGAACAAAAGATATAGATCCCGTATCAGTAAAAGAGACACATATATTAATCGCTCGCCACTATTTTGTCGCAGTGACTACAACACTCGCTCAGCGATACTCGCTAAGCAATACGCGCTCAGTGATACTGGCTTGGCGGTCAGAACACACACCGTGAGATGAACCAGCGGTCATTTCTCGACTTGTGTGGATCTGAGTGCAGTGAATTTAGAGCAATCATTAGAACTATCATTGTTGTCTAGTTCAGACGATTATGATGATATATTTTATGATAGCATTTGTACGTTGTAGCACGCGCTCAGCGAGCGGCGTGAGTATCGTCCGCCGTACTCTCTCACTCGCTTTATAGCCCAGCGAGACAACTATAGGAACTATACACTCGCTTCTCGCTGCTCACAACTCGTTTCTAGTTTCTAGCTCTACTCGCTTCTCGCTCATCGCCGGTGGTGAGACAAGTGCCCGAATAACTGGCTTGTCGCTAGCAGTTCGACAGCACTCTACTTTATCTTGCCTCCTCTCTTTTGCATCATTGTGGTTTCGCTTGGCACGTTACATTGCGGGCGCGATTTAGTTATATTTGTATCAAATTTCAAATTGAAAATTGGCGCTTGCCGCGGCCCCCTTTCGTATGGCCATGGCCCTCTTTGCCCCCCCCCCCCCAAGCTACGCGACTGAGTATAGGATAAAGATTTTTAACAAAAGATGTAATAATCTACTCTTATGTCTTGTAGTGACGACGAAAGAATATCCACTGCCCCATATCATCACGTGGATGTCGTAAGAGGGAACAGAAGAATATAAAACATAAGATGACTAATATATAAGTCGAGCCAGATTATTTTTGATTCTTTAAAATTGCTCAAATTGTGTACTATTGGACCCCTCCTGTTCGAGTTCGTCGTCTTCTTTGTTACCTACAAAACCTAACTATCAACATTTATGTATTTAACATGGTTGATGTAGTATCTTTGCTGATTAGTTTCCGTGCAACGTAACATGACGTGATTTCTGCCTGCAAGATAGCGGATGCATAACAATAGTGATGAAAACTACATGTCTCCGGAATATAATATTAGCTATAACAAACTATCAGTGAAAATTTAGCAGAAACTAATGAAAATTTGTAAACAAATAAGTTGCTAATTATTATTTTTGATTTCCATTCATATTTTGTAGCTCAAACCGATTCAATAAAAACAAGTTACTGCGGTCTTTATATCATGCTAGCAGTAAACTAAATGAAATGAACGAAATTTGAGTAAAAAGA